GACTGGAAGCGTCAAGCTTGGAATTTAGAAATAGATCTTGGGATGAACCTATGTCAGATATTTATAAATCTGCACAAACGCATACTGGTAGTGGTGCGGATGGTTCGGAGGTTAAAACGGGTGATACTCCGAACAAATAGAATCAAGGGAGAGAAATTAGACATTTAGTAGGAGGTGGCATGACTAAATGCGTTGACTAATTGCATCCATTCATATATATATTATATCCGTCACATACTAATTATACATAATAGTAAATTTTATATATAAAAAATTATAATAAAAATATAAGATTACTTTGAAGCTTTAATGTTTTTTTAAATCTACATCTTAACCTATTTTTAAATTTTGTGAATAAATATATTTAAAAAAAGAAAGAATAAAATTATCTTTCATGCTAAAGGATTTTATAATTTATCGTCATGGCGATGTATCGCTATCCCTGATCAACCAATTAGAATTCAGGATCAGGTTTAACGTGAAATCGAAGCGGTTACGATTTTTTTTCAAAAATCGGCTATAGCACGAAATTCCAATAGTAGCTAAAACACTTTGTATTGCATGATATGAAATATTGCCATCTAAACCTGCAACAGCATGTGAATAGCATATTCTTTTTTTATTATTTGTTTGCACTACAAGTATTACATATAATTTGACTCTTAATTATTTAAATACCAAGATTAAGTAGAAAGTTTTGTATTTCTATAATTTATACATAGCTGCAATAGTACTAAGTATAAACATTGGTTAGTATTAATAGATAAAGTGGTTTTTTTTAATAATCTTGTTTTTATTATCTAAATTGAATCAATACAGAACTTGTATAAAAAACTACACAACTATACTCTTTCAATGATTACTTGTACCAAATTTTATAACAAACTTTTTTACAAAAATAATAATAAACTCATATAGTCAAAAAGGTTATAAGACTAAGAAACTTTATAAAACTGGTATCTATTATTTAGTGTTATAAGTTGGTTTGCATGTTTAATAATCTATACTCTAAAATATAGACTTTTATAATATAAAGCAACTTGCCAAAAGCATGATGTTGGTGATTTGGTAATTATAATATAAGAAATTATTATTGGGTTGGTGATATTATATGCTCATTTCTTGCACATAAGTGTCATAACCAACTTTAAATTCTTTTTATAACTTTAAAAGACTAATGAAGCTTAACTAAAACTCACCTTATTATATAGTGTCTTAATTTCTATTGGCTGAGATATATCACAAATTGTCTAAGTTTTTAGCTTTAAATTATAAACTTGATTGACTATGATATCAATCTAGCCTATAATATTTACCCATACCTATTTTATATATACTATATATAAATAACTAATTTTTAAACTAAAATATACTATATAAGTAAATCATAATAATAAAATAATAAACAAAAAAAAATCTTATTTCAATATATTATTCCTTTGAAGTATCATCTATATTCTATATAAGATCAGTACTCTAAGAAGATTAGCTTTCTTTAACTGATTTAAACCTAAGTTACTCTGCTATCAGAGTAATATTCTAACTAGTAGTTTATATCAGAATGATTACCAAATTTTGAAAATGGATATCTTAAAAAAATTATTTATATATCTTGATTATCCAATTGTAAATTTTTTTTTCTCATAACTTAAACTTTAAATTAATTATTTGATTATTTTTGTAATATAATTTTTAATCTATTAAAAATTTAAATCTTAAAAAAAAATCTTTTTAATAACCAAATTCTAGTAACAACATGCCTCAAACACAAAAAAAAAATACTAAGAAATATTCAAAAAGACAAAAGTAAAAATATAATTTAAAATAATAGATAATAATAATAATAACTAATATGAATTTTTATTATAATAATAAAAATTTAAACAAGAAGAAAAAAAAAAATCATTGAAGATATTAATAACTTAGCAAAAAACTAGTAATAATAATTATTATAAATAATTAATTAATTAAATTCTAAAATTAATTTAATATGAAAAAAAAACTCTTTCCCGTAAATCCCTAGTACAAAAATTCTTAAAATTTCTAAAATACAAAAACGCAATTTACATTTAATTTTATTAAGTAACCATACTATTTAGCTCTAAATAAAATTGTCGCTCATACAATTTTACATATATCATTTAAATTTCAAGCCATTAGCTTTCGAATTTCCAAAGCTAAACGTCTTGACGGCCTTTTTGGCCCCAAAGTCAAACTTTTATTAGTTTCACCAAAATGTACTTCTCAACCTACTCTTCAAGCTTAGAAAAAGTTGTTCTACGTATTTTTTTTTGTCATAACAAGCTAAATTTTAACTTGATAGGCCCAATATTAACAAAGTTATGGCTCTTTTGTTCCAAACTCCTCTCTACTTTTTTTTATTTTTTACTTTTACCTCTACCTTGCCCCCAACACTTGGATACGTTTTCTGTGTAACAGTAGCAGCCCCTACTAGTGCTACCCACATATTACAGAACCCAAATTTTATTGGTTTGCAATTAAATTATTCTACTTTTATCTAATTAATACAAAACAAATACTTACCTTTTTTTGTAAATTTAATATTTACTTTTTTGTAAATATTTAACATATTTATATCACGCGTACTATCTTTGTGTTATATACCCGGTAATACAAGACAACTGCCCTGTGATTATTTGTCACACCTCTGCTTATTTGTCACACTCTGCTTATTTGTCATACTCTTGCTTATTTGTCACACCCCTTAATTATTTCTATACCCAAAATTATTTAACAATTTTCCCTTAAAACAATTAGTTTAATACAATATAACAAAAATGCCTACTCTCAAAAAAGACTTACCTGACACTATCGATCTTGATGCTTTCTTTACTCAATATCCAGATAGATTTGGTATCTGGATTACTGAAGAAGCTTCCAATACTAGCAGTCCTATTCCAGCTAAAACCAAACCAACTAAATGTCTTACTACTATTCTCCATAACAATAAAGTAACTCACTTCTTCCTAGCTCTAACATCTGCAACTATTGTATTCTGTCTTTGCAAAAAATTTTATACCAAATTTATCTTTATTGCTAATACAACCTACAAAACTAACCAACAAAATCTAATTGAAGCAACTAGTACTAAAAAAACAAAAACTCTTATTAACCAACTTAATCTTACCAAGGAATCTGTCCCACCTTCACCTACTAAAGAAGAAATTGACGAACATACTCACCCCTATGTTATATGCAACATAGATAACATTAACTGCAAACGTCCTATCAGTGGTAGTTGTTATTTTCTATCTGATAATGCTATCTACTATTCTGATAAAATTTATCACAAGGCATGCCTTCTTAAAGAACCTGAAGCACTTAAACTACTTACTTCGTCAACTACTCAAACATCCTTCCAAACACTTTTTCCAACTCATACTTCAACTTCAACTTTCTCTATTCCTATTACTACTACTAATCAACCCTCTCAGATTCAAACTACCGAACAGATAACTCACTCTGAATCCCAACCTTCAAA